CCCCCCCCCCCCCCCCCCCCCATCAAAAAATTCCCGGATCCGCCCCTGTAAGTCATAAATAACTTAAGCATTGTCATTACATATGAAGTTTTGCTTAGTCAAAATATCAGTCATTCAACTTTTTATATCTACATTTATTGTAAGAGATATTAAGCAAATTTACAATTCAATAAATTGGTCTATCAGAATTGAACGAGTCTACTTTTCTAGTGTTCTAGTTACTTGTGCAGAAATTACCATTTAACGATGATAAAGAAAAAAAATTTACTGTGCGAGCAACTCTATAGTTGTATGAATTTCTTAAAGGAACTAGTTTGTATTTTCTGGTCCAGTTCGGCAGATTGAAAAAGATTCACTCAATGATACCGAACAAGCTAAAACTGGAATATCATTTCCGCAGTAACAGTTGTTTTTCAGTCCTATCCTACAAAATTGAAAACTGTCACCTAAAGATACATGACAAGCTAAAGCTACGATATTCTCTCCGGAGTAAAATATTGACAAAGGAACCTGAGACCGAGGGAGATCGATATCCACCAATGTGAGTTTCAATACGCACGATGGAGAGGATCGCGGTCTCAACTGATACATGCACTCCTAGAAATTGAGCTACGGAAGGAGGTGGAAGTTCGCGTCAGTCCGCTTTTTAATACATACATCCCAAGCACCTCAAAGATCTCTTAGCAAATCATATTCAAGGAAAAAGAAACAAATATAAATTATTTGATTACCGGTGTAACGATAAACGTGCTAACTTTGTTACCATTCCCACAATATTATTCCTTTTTGCAAAACACATTTGAATTTCTATTTCAAGATATGAATTTTTTTGTCTTCATAGTCACAAACCAAAATACGACCATCTGGTGTTGTAGCTATTGCTTTCGGATCTCTTAGCTTAACAATAGTTTTGCCAATAAAACGACCTTCCATTGTAAACTGTTGAATGCGTCCGTTATTTCTGTCACACACCAAAAGATTCTGATGATCACCATATTTCTCAACACACAAACCCCATGGAGATGAAAACTGTCCATCAGCTTTACCTTTTCCTCC